TAGAAAACATGTGGTCCATGGTTGCTCAATGATTTACCCAGATTACACCCCCAGTTGCCCCACCACATCAATTTTAGCAACGTGTGGAAGCTTCTTGGTCTGCTGTACCCCAAGAACACATCAAAAGGCAAAATTGAATAGGCGAAAATACGTACAATCCGAAAACAAAGGTTTATTCAAACAAAATATTGTCGTTAATTTTTTTTAAAATCAAACGAACTTTACTTAAAAAATAGCCCTTGTACCATCAATACTTATTGAGTCAAAAGGCGGTGGTTGGTCGTGACGATCGGTGAGACTGTTCGTCATACACATTTATTATCTTCGCGTTGTTGTTTTTAAAAGTGCTTGACAATGTATGTGCTATGCACTGTCAACTTTTATGGGTCATAGGTGGGACCTACTTTTCGTAGGGGCCCAAGGCTTCTAGAAATCTTAAGAAGTCTCTACCTCGTAAAGAAGTCCTGCCTAAGAAAATGCATGAAAATACATAGTAGTTTGTCGGGACCGTTGCATTATTTCGTGTTAACCATTATTTTGTCATAAGCGTTTTCGCGTTAAACGTATTCCACTGTATATTGTCAAAAGTTGTTACCTAGTTCCCAAAAGGCAACGTTAATAAACTATCAACCTATATTAGTTTGAAAGGAGTCAAGCCAGGAACCATTTATATAGCTCTGATGTCCTGCTAGTTGATTAAATGTTTAAAAAAATATTGAAATTATTAACCGAAAATTTAATAACGAACTGATCATTTATTTATTTCCTAATTTGTACATACTTTACATGCCATTGCAACAAAATAGTAACATTAATGCGTACTTCTGTTGCAATGGATGACTGGTGCTATAAATTAATGTGAGAGGGTTAGAAGGAAGATAAGAAATAGTCAAAACAAACTATTTATTAACAAATTCTCAACAAAGACACAAATTCAACAACCCAAGTCTAGAAATGCACCATTTGATAAATATGGGGAGCAATAGCGAGGTAGTCAAAGTAATGTGAGTTATAATAATAAATTGGATCACTTACACTTTACACGACCAGGCAATACACTTTCTTATATGTGAAGATAATTGCTAAAGTGATCACATTCAAACCGATCTGAATTTAATTTAACAACTAAATGACCAAATTGAGATTCTTAATATTAATAAAATATTCTACTAAGCGTTCTAGCCTAGCTTTAAGTTAATCACTCCTTGCTATTTATTCAATTAGTTTATAATCTCTCTTTCTCTCTCGAATTTGAAAGTTTTATCTTTAAATACAAGCCTTGTTTTGAATAATCACATCTTCTTCTTCGGAGGAAAGTTTTCAATAGAATAATTAAAGTCCCATTATTCCCCAAGAGGATTAGTTGGAAGAGCGCGAATAGACCCGTTACACTGTTAGGTCAAAAGCAATGTGAAACCCAATTAATTCAAGAAGAAAGTAGCAACAACCCTTTTTTAAAATTTTGAAAAGAATTACATTAATGAATCCTACAACCCACTCGATGAAGTCCACCCCTCCGAGTCTCTTTAGCACTTTTTCAGCTGTCCACCGTTTATTAAATCCATCATCACAACCCCCCTATATGAGCAACGAAACAAATTTTCTCTTGAGCCAAAAGAACCACTACTGCAAGAGAGGATGATTAAAAGCTAGGGGCATTCATACATCAAGGGGATGCAGAAATCGACATTTTCGATTTTGTTTAGGCTCTGCACGAAATGGAAATAGGAGTCCGTGGAATTTCGACACAAACTTTGGGTAATAAATGGATTCTGGGAGTTTTCCTTCTCCCTTCACTTTTTGGATGTAGTGTTTCCAGCGAACTAAGCTTATTGGACTCTAGAGCCTTTAACTTGAGGGTTGAAGTCATTGATCATGGACTCGATGCGATGTGTCAAGATTTTTGCATTTTTCCTATGTCTCTTTTTCGTTCTTTTTTTAGGGGGGGGGAGAAGAGTTAGGTCTGTGACTTAAATAATGGAAACCGATATTAAAGCGATCACTTAAGATTCCATGCTATTAAATAGTAGAGGAAAAGAATTTGTTTTAAATGTTTTTACATTCTTTTTCTTTCCTGTTTAAGTTTTTAGAAGGGAGGGGTAAGGGAGTGATTTGAAAGATTTTTATAACGATGATGGGCACATATATTTTTTGAGACTTTGAACCCGTTATAAAATCAGAAGAGAGTTTAAAACTTAAAAAATAAAATCGTATTTTTAGTGATTAAATAGTTTTTCAATTCCTAACATTAGTTCACAATCACCCTATACATATACAGTTGAACTTCCATATTACTAACCTCTATATTTTTAATTTTTCTATATAGCGAATTTTTTCCTCGAAATAAGAACATTTCACGATTTTCTTCTTAAAATAACCTCCCAATAACAAAAAACATTTTCTATAAAACACACTTTTTCTTTTGTGATTCAAATTTTTCTCCCAATTTTTAAAGTATTTCTGGACATTTTAAGTCATTCTTTCCTTTGACTCATTTTATGGTGGCTATAAATCTTGAACTGAATTTATTAGGTGCCTAACTCACCGAGAGCAATAGAATTCTGGGCGATTGATCCAAGATGTGCAACCTTTAACCCCCATCACTGGAAAAATCTTCGATATATCATTTCACCGTCAGTGGAGTTCTCTCGGGTTCCTGTGTCCTTGAGTAGTGTTCATTTGTAGTGTTCATCAGTCGTACTAGAAACTTCATTTCTTGTGGTTCGAATACGTCAAAACAAAAGAGATTGAGCATCAAAGAAAAAAAATAATTCTTCAGGAAGTGGATAAAGGTGTCTAAAAAACTTTCTTCGAATGTCTTCTTTTTTTTCTTTTCTTTTGATAGTTAAGATATATATATATACATCTTTATATATAAAAATCTTCTGTGCATGTGTTTGTCACTAAACTCCTCCTAAACGGCTGGAAAGATTTCGATGAAATTTTTTGTTTGGGTTCCAGTAAATTCGAGAATGGTTTAGATTCACAATTCGGTTCGATATCACAATTAGTTAAAAAGATATTAATTAAAAACATTCAAAAAATACAACTCAACATTCACCTGCATTGTTGTAACAACGCTATTGCTATAAACAAGCAATATAAAAAAAATTTTTAATCAATTCCTACTTAGATCAACCAAGAAAAAATTTATTTTAGCTACTTTTTATTAAATAGTTGCAATTAATATAAATATGTATATACATATGGCAGAATTAAACATTAAGGGGTAATTAATTTTTATTAATTATCATTAAAGTATCGCATTGTCATCCAAAACAATCGTGTATATAAAATTTCTTTTCAACTGAATGCTTTATTTAACACGTGAGAAAAAAACCTTTTCAAATTTTGACATAAATCGCCAAAAGGGTCGCTAAATCGCCAACGTGGCTGTAATTTTTTAAATAATTAGTTTTACTCAATGAATTTTTATTAATTATAATTAAAAAAATTACTGTATTGTGTCATCCAAAATAATCATGTACATTACATTTCAGCTCAATTGAGCGCTTTAAAATATATTTTATTAACGATAGAAAATTTCACCAAGATAAATAAATAAATAAATAAATAAACAAATAAAATATGTATAGAGATCGTGAGCTAATAGTAGGAATTGAAAAAGACGTAAGATGGCGTCGAAAATTGATTTTCAGCCAAACTGGCCAAACTGGGTCTTTATTGATACGAAAATACAGACGATTCACGCTTTTTAGCGTTTTTAATTAATATCTTTTCACATAATCTTTATATATGTAATTCTTCTGTGCGGGTGTATGTAACTGAACTCCTAAACGGCTGGACCGATTTTGATGAAAGTTTTTGTCTGTTCCAGTGGACTCGAGAATGGTTTAGATTTATAATTCAGTTTAGAAATGTTTATTTAATTAATTTTTTATTTATAAATCGTTGATCTTGGAATGTTTTACACTGGATCCGGCAGATTGCGCTAAGATCGCAGTATCGAATATTCAAAAATCTTTTGTTATAATTCAAGTTGGTCCCGACAGTTGGTGCTGTGATCATTTCAGGAAAATATTTTGTCACTTCGTGTTATAATTTTGTTGAAATAAATCGTGTGTTAATTAAATTATTACATTAAGATGTAATTAGTGTTTGAAATGTGCATAAAAAAACTATACATTTTATGTACAATTTAATAAATATACGTTTTATAATATAGTTTGAGTTTCACAACTTTTTCACCTTTAATTAAAACAAGTTTAAGTTTTTATTCACACAGTCTTTACTCATAGCCTTCGCTCATAGTATACACATACTCACTCGCTATCGATTGACTGAATTGTGATAACCGTACCTGTAATGACGTTAGACATTGTAATAACGTTTTAATTCGAATTTTACTCAAAACGGTCCAGATTGTTAAAGCTTATTCATAAAGATTTGGAATTTTTGAATTTAAGATGTGTGTACAGGACGTCTGTCGGGTCCTCTAATATATGTGTGTGTGTGTGTGTGTGTGTGTGTGTGTGTGTGTGTGTGTGTGTGTGTGTGTGTGTGTGTGTGTGTGTGTGTGTGTGTGTGTGTGTGTGTGTGTGTGTGTGTGTGTGTGTGTGTGTGTGTGTGTGTGTATACACATATTAATTTACAGAGAGGTGTGAATAATTACTTTTTTTTAAATATATAGTGTTTATGAGTATAAATTTGTTTTATATTATGGGGTTTATATATATAAAGGAAATTGAAAGATGAACTTCTGTATAACGAATTTTCGATTTAACGGATATTTTTCGGGATTTAGTGACTTCGATATAAAGAAGACCAACTGGATATATCTTGTTCAAACTTTCAATCGTTAATAAACTACTTTCTATTCATCCATTCGAGTTCAAATACATTTTTCAAAACTTGTGATGACACTTGATGTTAATACCGTTTTTTGAAATATTAATTCACTAGTTAAACTTAATGAATAAATGGTCACAAACAAAAATAATAGTCCAACACCCAAAATAAAAAGGATAATCACTCGTTGTATCCCTGTAGTGCAATTGATAGCGCTTTGGACATCTATCCCAAAGATCGTGGGTTTGAATCCTACCTGGGATGGCCTAATTTCAGAGAATGTGATTTATGAATGAATAATTAGCAGCAAACACAAAAATAATAGTCCAACACCATTTACAGAAAGGAAAATAATTTTCTACTTTGCCATTTAATATTGTGATTCTGTCATATGCATATACATATTTAAATTAATATTAATTCTTTAATAAAAAGTAACTCAAGTAAAAAAAAATTTGTTGACCTAAAGAGGAATTGACTTAATTTTTTTTATTCTACTTGTTATGAAATAATAAAATAATAAAATGTAATTTAATTAAAATATATATATATATATATATATATATATATATATATATATATATATATATATATATATAACATAGTGAGAACCATACTTATGTCGCAATATAAAGCTGTGCATGTAACTCGTTGCGGCCAATTGGAGATGCATTAATTCACAACTAATGTAAATAATCAATATCTCAAGTCAAAAATTTCTATTACAATAGCTAACATATATCGTTAATGCTACGATGACAAGCAATCCAAAATAAATATATAATACCAGGCTGAGAGAGAGTTTTTATTAACATCGTACTATTAAACAACGCGATAGCTCTAGGTCACGGACGTCGAAAGTTTGAACCTCGGTCAATTGACGAGAACTACACCTAACATCCTCCTCTCCTAACTACCACATTGTGACGTTTGAATAAATAACGATAGCATGAAATTGATTAATTTAAGCATTTAGTTTATTTACGTCACAGCTGTTATTTACAGATTATAAATTGAAGTTATTAAGCTTATGAAAGAGATATTATTAGAGTTCGAATGATGTGGTTTGTGAGGGAGGAGTTTCCTTGTGGTCCGCTTTCAACGAAGGTTGTCAGACCATCTCCCGTTCTCTTACTTTGTCCTCTCTAGCTTCGGGGATCAGAGGCCAGCGTCATTAGCTTCCAGTTACATCCGGCTAGTGGCAGCAAGGGGTTTTCCGGGGTGTCAAAGATTGCCGGGATTATTTAAGACAAGACCGTGCAATAATTTTAAAACTGCAGATGTCAATGCACGTGCGGTGATCCACAAAGATGCTGATTTATATATAGCTGTTTGGCGGGAATCGTTACAGTATCAACAGGAGGACACAGAGCCTTGGCAAATTTAACGTGCATCGCTCCTTCCCTAACGTTGAGTTTTGTGACGCTAGTATTCGATAGGGATGGCAAACTGAGATCAATGAATCAAAAAATCGATTTCTCGGACCTAAAAATCGATTTTTTTAATCCATATGTCACCCTGAATCGATTCAGGGAATCGATATTTCATCCCAGAAAATTGACATTCGATTTTTTTCTGTTTTGGCTAAAACTATAAAATTGATAAAAATGAAGGATTTAAGGCATATTTTTGGTAAAAACGAAGAATTTAAACACTATTTATCGTAGGCAGTTGTGCACCTACAGTATGATCCAGTACTTTAATGGCAAGGACAAAAAAAAACTCTATTTATCATCATGTTCACTCAATAACCACGATATATATGAGTATCGTGGGATCATCTGTTCTTTGTCAGCGGCTTTTTTCGATTGTCGACAACATCGAAAGTGATGTGCGGAACCGCTTGGATCCCAGTAGACTTGACAGACTGTTGTTTTTAAAAAGCTTATGTATTAAGTATTGATAGCTATAAGCTATATTATCTATATTCTAAACTTTTTAATGCAACAAATACATTTAGAATATATAAATGTCCTCTTTTATACCTGATACTTTGATATGGTAATAAAAAGAATTGCAATTTTTGAATTCCCTGAACTGAAAAAAATTCACTGATTTTACTGATAAGAGATCGTTTTTTATGGTATCTTTCTTGTTTTTCATAATATGGATTTATATTTACATAGTAAATGCAGACTTAGAAAAAAAACGATTTTATAGAAATGGATCTTTTTTTTTTAGACCTCGATTTTTTTGGTGAATCGATTCATCAGCTTACGCTTCGAATCGATTTAAAAATTGATCTTTTTCGGAAAAAATTGCCATCCCGAGTATTCGAGTAAGTGAGTAGTAAGCGAGCAAGCACTATAAAGGTGCATGAAGGCTACTGGCTCCAGACCTCGCAATTTTAAACCATGGGCAAGTGACACGAACAACACGAGCTGACATCTCTTCTCTTAACTAACAGGAGGACGTCTGAGCCCCGATAGAATTATCTTGTAGAACCCCCCACCCCCTAAACGGAGGGCCTTCATTTGCGCTAGGCTCGATCCCATGCCACGCAACCCACGATTTCGTGACCTTAACCACTAGGCTATCACAGCCACATAAAACTATCTATAAACACCGAATGGTCATGGTTACCGAGTGATGATGTTCACGAACTAGTAACCTTCAAATGCTTCTGCCAAGAAGAAAATATCTGTTAATTTATATATTTTTCGAATGATTTTGTTTTAAAAAGACTTTGAAACGAACATACACTCATAGACAAAAAAATTAGCGCACCAAGAAATAATTGCGGGATCGTAATGAAACTTGGCATGGAGATACATACCAAAGAGATATGCAAATGATTAAAAATGCAGCGTGATTGCGCATTACATATAGCCGGTTGAAGGTGTTTAACGGCGTTCTCCGTGGAGTATAAAACAGGTAACCAAAGCCTGTTTGAGGGTGCAGAATCGTTTACAAAGGAAAAGGTGAGGTAGACATACCATTACGCCGTTTTTGAAGACAATATGAGCAGCTGTCGTAGTTTGAGAGGGGGAGAATCATTGGCATGATGAAAGCTGGATGGTCAGCTAGGCGAGTAGCTTGTCAATTAGGCTGCTCTGATTGTGTTGTGAGGAGGTGTTGGGACCAGTGGATCCGAGAAATGTCATTGACACGAAGCCCAGGCTCAGGACACCCTCAACAGACCAGTCATCGAAAAGACCTCCACATAGTAAGAATTGCCCGCGTACAGCCAACTGCTTGATCGGCCGCCATCCAGGCACAGGTAGCACCTTCATTAGGGGCCCCTGTGTCTTCTCGAACCATACGAAGGCGCCTGGCTGAAGGACATTTGGGTTCACGGCGCCTATTACGTGCGCTGCCCTTGACGCCCATTCATTGACGCCTCCGTTTTGAGTGGTGACGCCCACGAGGTAACTGGACTGCAGCGGAATGGAACCAGGTCGTCTTTAGCGACGAATCCAGATTCAATCTCAGCAGTGATGACAATCGTGTTTGTGTGTGGAAACTCCGTGGTGAACGCCTCTATCCTGCCTTTGCTTTACAGCGACACACCTCTCCCACAACTGGTGTGATGGTATGGAGAGCCATTGTCTACAAAACACGGTCACCCCTAGTATTGATTCGTGGCACCATGACAGCTCAGCGGTATGCCCATGACATCCTGCAACCATATGTGTTGCCACTCATGCCACGGCTACCAGGAGCCATTTTTCAACAAGAGAATGCTCAGCCTCTCACGGCAAGGGTGTCACAAGACTGTCTTCGCACTGTTACTACATTTTCTTAGCCTGTCCGATCCCCAGATTTGTCTCCCCTCAAGCATATCTGGGATCATTTGGAATGGCGAGTTGGGCATCCCACGAGTTTGAACGAACAAGAGGCAAGGTTACAGCAAATATGAAACGAAATGTCTCAAGACATCATACAGAGCTTGTATGCCTCAATGCCCGATCGCATCGCATCGTGTATTTGCGCTAGAGGGGCTTTAACAGGGTATTAAATCATCCGTTCTTTCGCCTTTTTGTCTGAAATAAATTATGATTTTTCTTTGATTTTCTAATCATATCAAAGCAGTCATTACGTATGTAACATTTCATTTCATTTGGTCGAGTCCTTCTCTTGGTACGCTAATTTTTTTTGTCCATGAGTGTACTTCTTTTTAAAATAGCTGGAGTGTCTTCTTAAACGGTTGTTCATATAATCTTGCAGTTACGCCTACCATAGTAGAAATGTATCAACAGTTCACTGAGATAAAATACACAAGTTATATAAAAAAAAATTTTGAGTCAATTCCTACTTAGATCAACAAAGAAAAGTTTTATTTTAGTTACTTTTTATTAAATAGTTACAATTAATACAAATATGTATGTAAAGGGTGTTTTTTTAGAGATATAGAACTTTAAATTGCAATAAAAAAACGATGTATTATTCGATTGACATGAATTTTTTTTATTCGAAAGATAATCTTGTGGCATTACATTTTGAATATGATTTCTGGAATAGGACTGCCAAGGCTGGCTAGGATGTAGTCCAATCTGGACGTCCAATTTTCGATGACTTTTTCCAACATTTGTGGCCGTATATCGGCAATAACACGGCGAATGTTGTCTTCCAAATGGTCAAGCGTTTGTGGCTTATCCGCATAGACCAATGACCTTACATAGCCCCACAGAAAATAGTCTAGCGGTGTTAAATCACAAGATCTCGGAGGCCAATTCACAGGTCCAAAACGTGAAATTAGGCGGTCACCAAACGTGTCTTTCAATAAATCGATTGTGGCACGAGCTGTGTGACATTTTGCGCCGTCTTGTTGGAACCACAACTCCTGGACATCATGATTGTTCAATGCAGGAATGAAAAAGTTAGTAATCATGGCTCTATACCGATCACCATGGACTGTAACGTTGTGGCCTTCATCGTTTTTGAAGAAGGATTCCACCAGCCCATAAAGCGCACCAAACAGTCAGTTTTTCTGGATGTAACGGTGTTTCGACATACACTTGTGGATTAGCTTCACTCCAAATGCAGCAGTTTTGTTTGTTGACGTAGCCATTCAACCAGAAGTGGGCTTCATCGCTAAACAAAATTCGCTTATGAAAATCGGGAACAACGGCAATCTCGTTTTGGGCCCATTCGACGAATCTACGCCTTGCTTGATGATCGTTTGGATGAATTGCCAAACCAAACTGAGAATAAATCACTTGACAGCTGTTAAATCGGTCGCCATCTTGGAAAGTAATGCCAACTTAAACTTCTATACCTGGAAAAAAAACACTCTTAACGTATGACAGAATCGCAACATTAAG